CCCCCCCCCCCATTTTTTTTCTTTTTTTTTTTTTCTTCCCCCCTTCTTAAGATAGTTTGTTGCAGATGTCACTAAGGCCTTGCATTCAGCATTTCCCGGCAAGCCCACAGCTGCCTCCATTAGCTCCCCACACCCCCTGCCCTCTCACCCTGCCCGTCGACAGCCGCGACTTCTTCGAGTCCTCGTGGTTGTGATGGGGCTTGCCAACTTTGCCCATCTGCCGCTGCTGCTCGTTCACCTTCTCCCTCATAACTGCCAGCTCCTTCATGCCCGTCTTCATGGGCTTCCTCCCGCCGGCTCCGCTCAGGATCCCTGTGGTGCCGTCCACGTGGTTCTCAGCAAGGATGCTCTCGGACCGGTCATCACCATTATCTGCAGGAGACACGGCAGACAAGGAAAGGGTCAAGCTCAGCCAGGCGCTCTCTCACATGTTCATCCCATCCTGGATTGCTTTCAAGCATGGCCGGTTACCAAGCCATAAAATCTTTGCATGCAAAAATTTTAAATTGCATTAGCCCTTTCATCTGGAAGGTGAGAATAGATCCTTTCATTCTGGAGTTATTACCACACTAAAAGACAGTTTAGAGAGCAGGGGAAATCGTTGCTGGAGAAGTTCTTTCTGGTTTTCCTTTGACCTTCTAAATTACTTCCCGAAGAATGTAATTTTCCCATCAGAAGTCCAGTTGGGTTAGGGATGCCAAGTGTAGTTCGGCTCCAAAACATAAAACCACAGTGATTAGTAACAATACCTTGAGTCCATCTATCATCCCCCAGAGTATCTCCAGGAATACTTACTCAATATTAATGTGCTAAAATAAATTCTCAGGCCTGCTTTCAAAAATACCTTGCCTCTGTTTTATGGCCACCCTAATTTCCCTCAGAGATCCTGCCATTTCAGTGACTGTCCTTGCCGTATTGTCTTTCACATCGTTTGCCATACAGTGCATAACTCATTTAGCTTCTACCTGCTTCTGCATTTGGTCACTTCTGCTGACCGTGGAACAGCCCCACGTGTCCTGGGCCCAACTCTGCCACTGCTGCAAGCCACAAGACCCCCAGCTAATTCAGCCATTTCAAAATCAGTTAGCAGAAATCTGGGGAAAAACATGGACTTTTTCCACCTCCTCCACCCTCTGTGCATTTTCCCAGTTCACTGGGTGCCGTTTCTGAGAGCAATCCTTGCCAAAGTAGGACATGATGGTCGCCATGCTGCAGACACCAGTCCCTTTGGACTTTGTGGTGGGAATGAGGATTGAATCTCAATTGCTCCTGCTTGCTCCAGAAGCCCAAAAGGTGACAGCTGACCCCTCCTTGGTGCCTGGTCTGATCTGGCTGAGCAAGCACGTCTAACACTGTAGCTGGATCTAACATTGAAGCTGGCCCTGCTTTAAGCAGGGGCTTGGACCAAGACCTCCAGAGGTTCTTTCCAGTCCAAATTATGATTCAACCCATGCACACACATCACCTCTCACCACAACAACCCAGGCTAAGTATGTCTCTGTATATAGGAGCTCTTCAGCAGCTCCAGAGGTCCCACACCAGTGACAAACCAGGCCATTCTGGTCCTACGGCGGTGACAAACACGAAGTGTCTTTTAGCATATGCCAAGGAGGAACTGTAGCACCCAGCCTCCCAACATCAGCATTCTCTCCAGCACCTCCGATTTCAGCTTTCCAGCACTCCAGAACTCAGGCACTTATACAGAAGTAAAGAAATCACATCAAACTGATCACATCAAACTGTGCACGATGGAGGGCAAGCAATGCTTTAGCTCGTGTAACAATGCTTAATTTATGGATCTCTCCTGCTTCTTGGAAGACCAAGTACGCAGAGCATTTACAGATTTTAAGATTTCCTTTTTTTCAGAAGCTGCATTGTGATGTTTTGTCAGGGCATAGCTCTACTGTCATGACAGAGAGTGAAAAATCATAATAGCAGGTGTTTTATTTCTGCCACAGCTTTCCAAGCTCTTTTCAGGTGTTACAACCGCAGGCTCACACAAGGGAAACTGCAAGAAGAGTTTTGTCTGAACTTACTCAGCAAATGTGTGGCTGCCTGCAGACTGATGGCAAGAGAACAGCCCAAGTGGGCTGGATCACAGAGCCACCCCAGCCCAGCATACCATCCACAAGAGACCATCAGCAGCTGCCTGGGGACACACATCAGAAGGACCATTCCCAATCTGTGCTGCAGACCAGCAGTAAAAGCACTTTCATGGCTGGAGACTGCATCTCACCCACAGGATTTAAAAGCCACCAACAGACCCATCCCTCAATGGATTTGTCCAATATCCTTTTGAACTTCCTCATCATTTTGGCCTCCGATCTCCCAATACTGGGATCGTCCCACTTCCCAGAAATACTAAATGCGTTTGGTCTGCAGGTTTTTAGCTGCTTAGGTAGCAACTGAAAAGCAAACACCGGGTAAAACCAATCTGGCAATGTCCATGACTTTCCTCAATACTGGTTCCAGATGAGAACTGGGACCAGGTTTGATAGCCAGATGGGCAAGCTCAAAGTCTGGGCTGCTGTCTGGCGATTGCCGTCTGGCTGTCATCCTAGGAGCCGGACAAGGAATATTTTGAGCAGGAATCTTCTGTTTATACACCAGTCTCCCCGTTAATTAGAAACACATAGTGAGAAGAGAGAAGGCCATGAGGCTGCCCTTCAGACAGGATCAAATGAAAAAGCACCATGCAAGAGACGGGCAAGGCTGGCCAGGCTCTGATCCTCAACGAGCTGCTTAGGAGGGTTTTAGCCTTCCGACATCTTTTGTGCTCCTCTCCTTGGTATCCCACCAAGCTGTCAACAACTGCAGAAGAATGAGCACAGTAGCAGGGCAGCATCTGAGACACGTTGCAGTCCCCTGCTCCATTCAGAAAACCAATGGTACAAACTGACAGAAAAGCAGCAAACTGGAAGCGGTGCCTTCCCCCATCGATTCTCGCTCCTTCCTGCCTCCAACTAAAATATATAGACATCTGCCCAAATAAGCACTGCGCTAGTAAATGAAGGCGAGCTGGTAAGCCTCTTGTCGGCTGATTCATTCACAAAACCTGCTTCTGATAATATTTTCACTCGTTTTTCTCACTTTCCAATGCTAACAAATATCAGCCCAAAGAAAACCACCGATGGGAGCAGAGTGTGCAAGCCCATGTGCGTGAACACACCCAGGGACAGGAGAGATTGGTCTTGGCTCCCCTGGCACCATCACAGGAGCAGAGACCAGGAAGGTCTAGCTGCTATCGACTGCAAGCTCTCCTCTCCAAGGCCAAGCCAGCCACGGTGAGCCATACCTTTGCCCTGCTGCCAAGCTAGACTGATCCACCTGGGGCTGATGCCAGAGCCCCACCACAGCTTCTCCCTCTCCCAAATCCGGTGCTGCTCTTAGGAGGAGCTCTCCTGACCCAGGACTTGCAGGGATGGCTCAATCACTGGGGAAGGGACAGAAGAGGTTGGCCCCATGTGCAAAGCACCGGTGTTTCCTTCACAGACGAGCTGCGTGCACAGGAGGAGGCTGAGCATCAGGTGTGATGAACCACATTTCAAAGAGCAAATGGGCTGGGTAGCAACAAGAGCGGATACCATCAAGCCTTGAGGTTGGGAGAACACAGAGCACGCTAAGAGCCAAACAACACCTTTTACAGCTAGATAATGCTTTTTAACACTGCCCAAAAGAAGCAAGTTGTGCTTGCTTGCTTATGACTGTCCGTGAACCAATTAAGCCACCCATTAACCCTACCAGCATGGGATGGGCAGGTATGCAATTGCCTCAGATATACCCTAATCCGTTTGTCATCCTGGCAAACGCCCTTTTGCTGACCAATTTCAATTCACGCTAAATATATCTGTGAATGGAGTGGTGCCAAACTCCAAAACAATTAAGTTTTATAGTTCTTCCATTTTTCTATGGCATATGGAAAACATCTCCTGTGCTATTTTGGATCAAAAGGTAGAGCACTTTGTGCAGGGTGGGACAAGTGTGGCAGGAATCAAAGCAGATAGCTGAAGTTCTCCTAAACACTGATGTGGAGCCCATGAAACACCTCTCTCCATGCCAAGAAAGTGATTTCTTTATGGCCTTTTTCAAGGAAAATTCCCACTGGCTTCAATGGGGCGAGGACTTGGCTGAGGTGAAAGCGTGTTCAAATGGCCATCAGCTAATGTCTGTAGGGAGCTGCACAGTCTCGCCAACATTTTCAAAAGCGGCTACCAATTTCCAGCGCTGAAATTTTCGGGAATCTGGTTTGACACCTCTAGGCACCTCCGCTGAGATGACTGAGAAACAAAGGGGCTTAAAAACAACTCACCGCTTCCAGAGCTACAAGAAGAAAAAAGCACCGCACAAAAAAAGGCGGCTGCCTGAAGTTAAAAATACATCTTTATCCCTTTGAAGAGCCCTGAAGCGTATCTGGGCTGCGGGACGGGATCGAGCCAGTAGCACTCACTTAGAATGAGAGGGCCAGCCTGTATCACGGGGAGCACGCACCATGCCAAGGACCGCAGCCGCCCTCTCCAGCGCTGCTCTCTCTCTGCACTTGCTTTCCTTCCACGACAACTTGCCCGCAGGTTTCACATTCGTTTGCTTATCTGCCCACTGTTTGCATAGCGTTTAAGTGCTGATTAAGGTCCCAGACCCACAGAAAGCTTCACCCAAGTGGTCTTCAACAACCTGCCTGGAGCCCGGCTAGACTCAGGTCCCAGCTCTGTCCCAGGCTGAATGGGGCTTACATCTCCCTCCCGCAGCAATCGCAGCCTCCGTTGGCCAGCACTTTCCCTCTGAAGACATCAAAGCACTTTGCAGTTCATTAATTACCCTGGAGAGAGAGGTGTTCATCCTGGGTTGCACACGGCAAAAAACAAAGGCACGGAATAATTTTAGAGCATTGCCCAAAGCCACGCAGGGAATCGTGCACAGGAGCGAGCGCACTGGGGGCTGTGGGAATGCAGCATCCAGAGAGTGATTTTTCACCCTGAGCAGTGTTGTCTGTCTCATCTAGCTTTTTTTTTTTCCTCTCCAACACTTTTAGCTTCTTGTGGCCACGAGTTCTACCATTTCAGGATAATTTAAGGGCCTGTTCTGGGTTTTGCTTGCCACTTTTTATTTTAAGGAGCAGAGCTGCCTGTCCTGGGCTGCCAGGAACCCAGCACTTGTCCTTTGCAGCCTGAGAGCAGACAGGGCCTTTAAACCTGACCTTTAACATGCACAACAGCCATGGCTGGAGAATTACTTGCAGGAAGGAGCAGACAAATCCCGACCGCAGCCCCGGTGACCTCTGCCTCATCAGTCTGCAAAGTATTTCTTGGAGAGCCCTGGGCAAAGGTTCCTGTGCAATAGCTCTGGTGTGGGTGTTGTTGACCTGGAGCTTGGATA